AGAACTATGGCGCAGTAAAAATATGAAGTCAAAGCAAAGCGAAAATCAAAGACGGTTTTTAGATTATTATGATCAAGCTGCTTTTTTTCCTCCACACACTGCTGTATTATACAGTACTGTGGTTGGAGCTGAAAGACATCTGAATAATAAAACGTCTGCAGTGGCTGCCATATGCCTGGTATAGCCTCAATAACCTCTGCCCTGTGCACAGAATATGCACTTACTAATCTAGCCTTGTATGAGCTGCGCCGCAGACAAACCACACTTTTACAGCATGGGACGCTCACATTATGGGTCATCACCTCAAATGACAATACATCGATCGCACAGAGGACAGGCTTTGGGGAGAGAAAAAAGTACTGTACACAAGGACATAAATAGCCATTTCAGATTTTAACAGTGACAAGAAGCCAGCCAATTGCAGGCTCTATTTTTAGGTGTGCCGGTGGCCTGAGGCTGGCAGCTTTGAGAAGGATGTGTACTTTTCTACAGTTCCTTCCCAAAAATCAACGCTGTCCTCGCTGGCGACAATCACAGGGCAGCTGTTGTGGCTAGGTGGCCCGGCCCCAGCTTGCCTCACCCTGCTGCTTTGTGCCAGCCTAAGAAAACCGTCTTTGCTACCCAAAATTCACACCCAGCCAGCAAAAACAGGCCGGAAGGTAAACACAAAAGCAAATGTGACTCGATGTGTTTGCATCCGGTGAAAATTATGGAGTTTTATCAACGCTGGTGGCGGTAGGGGCTGCATTTCTAAATTTACATGAGGCAGGATGCCTCGGAGCCAATTTATCTTCAAAAAAACCAAAAACAGACAGACAGAGAAAGAGAGAGAGACCTAAATGACCTTCCTCCACAGGTCACAACTGATAATGGATTACTGAAATAGGCACTTTTTGGCAATTCTTAAATTGATGTCATGTCAAACCCGACTTTAATTTCCTGAAACCTTTTGAACATTACAGTGAAGTCAAACTTTCTCCAAAGGGAAAAAGCGGCTCATTTTTATATATCTTACCACAGGTAGACACTATCTTTTTCAAATGTACACACACACCTAGACACGCACACACAGAGTTAGGCATCCCTGTGTGGACTAATTGTTGACAGGTGGCCCTAATGTTCTCCTTTGAAACCAAAGTGTGATTTACGACCACGCTCCCCGAGACCCCGGCTTTCAGCACCGCTACTACAAACTTATCTTTTTCTCCCTGCTTCTGTCGCCTACCCCCTCCCACTTTTATTCCTTCTGCTCTATCTCTTCTTCATTTTTCCTCAATTGCACCTCATTACTTTGCTAAGTCACTTTCACCTCCGAGCCCACTTTGATGTTTCTGTGCTTCTCTGTCTCTCATCGCAGCACAGCAGTGACTCTCCAGACATCCTTTTAATGTTTGATGAACTATTTTTCACACCGTGGAGGAATGTGTCCATGCATGTACGTGTGTGTGTGTGTGTGTGTGTGTGTGGTGGGGGGTTGGGGAGCTACACGAGGAAGACAGGAAGGACAAAGAAAGCAAGGGCACTCAGGAGAGTGTATGTAAGACCTGACCCTGAAACCTCATGTGCCAGTCCAGCATCTTCGATCAACTATTTGAAGACTTTTGGGCCGCACAATGCTGGGCGTAGGATGAGAGACATGGATCATCTATAATATTTCCATCTATAATATTTATGACAATTATTGCTATTATTCAGAAAAATAGCCTGTGTTCAATATTGTGAAACACCTAAAAATTGAATGGATTTCATTATAACGACGCTAAACCCTCCAAATATTTATTCTGTCTTTTAGCAGTCCAGCCGATTGACCTCGAGCAGCAGTAATCTGCTATAGTGCCCAACAAACTCAAACACATTTTCAAATACGTGTTTTTAAACTGTGTATAATTTGCACAAACAAACAGACAAAGGTAAAAGACTGAGACCAGACTACGGTGTCACATTTCTGCCGTATGTGAGCATCCAAGTAGTCCAGTGATAGGAATCGGTGCCTCCACAGCAGCAACCGATAATATGGTATGAAACAGTGTTTACGTTGATGCCACAGTGTAACGCACTTACTGAAGCGGTAAATTACGGAGGGTGTGACTGCACTCAGAGTGACCAATCTTAGCAGACGAGCAGCCGTACCTCATGAACCACAGCAGGAAAAACAGGAACAGGAGAGAACAGCATCGAATCAACTGAACTCAGAACTACAAGGCTTGTAATGCCTCTGGGTTAAACAGATGTTTCATATTGACAGTTCAAATAAGTGAACGAAAAACACTGCAACAACATCCACTGAGCTAATAACATCCAGCAAAAGATAAAGTGAGGTGAGTTCATCTGATATGGCATTGGGAATACATCAGATAAAAACAAAAAGCCTGGTCACAGGATACAGTGAGAAAATTGTTAGATATGATAAGACACGATTTTAAATATTTATCTTCCAACTGCAAGAGGTTAGGTTCAAACAAAACTGCCCATCTAAATATTTTACTTCAGCACATTAACACTTTTTGCTGGAACACAACGTGGGATAAATAACAGTGTCTCTCTTAAATAAAAAGAAAGATGTGTACATATCCAAAGGAGTACACTGCTCTGTGGAATAGATCACACATCTGCTTGCATGACCTTCACTTTTGAAGTTAACGAACTGCTTGTTACAGTATTTTAAAGTTCAGGAGCTTGTTTCCACGGCAGTAAGATGAAAAGTATGTCACGAAAAAACATGACTTAAGTTTTCAAACCTCTTCTACTATAGCATGCAGAATTACCCACCAATCGATTCCCAGTCATGTGGTTCTCTGAAGTGTTTATCAAGTTATCCACCCGCTACTGGCAGCAGCACATTTATCAAAGCTCAGCGATATTCCAGGAAGACCATGACTCATAGAAACTGTGATAATTTACTCCCAGTAACACCTTTGGGGTCAAACAGTGCAGGTTACACAAAGTCTGTGTTTATCAGCGTGCATCTTTGCCAGAAAGGTACACACAGCTAGTGTGAGTGGCCTGCAATAGTGTTTGACAAACAAGGGAGACAAGGTTGTGGCAGAGTCCCTGGAAAAGTGGCTCTTGTGACAACCAGTCACTGGAAACACAAACACACATGCACACAGACACACACAGACTCCACTGCAGCAATCTCTAACCTGAAGTAACACTCCATTTAGCTCACCATTTTTATATCGCTGCACAATCACGACAAAATACTTGCAGACGGAGAGATACTTGCTGAAAAAGAGCGACTGTCGTGCTTACAGTCGTCATGTGGACAGAAACACATCTCTAGGTGAATGCAAAGGTTGCCCCCTCCCTGCTTAACGTGTTAGAGGGTGGCAAGAGGGGATGGGCAATAAGTCTACGCCGTATGTACGCAGTAACTGCAGACCCGTCTGAAGACCTGTGTCGTCACCGCTGTCCCAGGAATGTCACCAACTGTTGCGTTAATGGAGGCCACAGCTACTGTGATTGGCCTGCTCAGTACAGTTGTTTCCTCTTATGCATTTCTGCTGCAGTTTTCAAAAGGAACTGTGAGAGAAAAATAACCGTTGCCTCAAATATAAGGAACAACAATCATACCCTCAATACAAGGACTCGGAGACAACAGCAGATTCCTGATTGGAGATTTCATGTCTGAACAAACAACATACAGATTTGCCTACGGAAAAAAAACATGACCACAACAAAGTGTGGGGACCCAGGAGGGAAAAGGCCCAGTACTGCATTTGTTTCTATTATGGCTAGAACAGCATATAACACCAGGCCACAGCCACAAGGTAATTAACACATAAAACACCACCCACAAGTATAAATGCTGGGAACGGCATTGGCCACTTGGTTAGGTTATATCTTAGATTATACAAAGATTCTCTGCAGAAGTTGAAAAGAGTGTAAGTGAGCAACACTAACGTGGCCGCTAAGGCATTACTAACAAAACCTGCTGTTTGTAAACTATGTTGTTGATGTAATTGTCAACTGATCATTAAAAACAGTCAACCTGAAGCTTTTTAATATGTTCGTCTGAAACAGGTCTGTGTTGTAAATGAGACTCAGTGGAACTTCCTGTATAAATAAAGGTTCAATAAATCAAAATTAAAAATGAATCTGACAACAGGTAATTTAAGTCATTTATGATGTAAACACATTACACACTGATTTCAGCACTCGGTATGTGAGGATATAACTGTATCAAAACTTCATGGGTCAGTATGTACCTTATTTTTGAAGTTGCGAAAAGTAAATGAGTAAACTAACAGAAACAAGTTTTTGGATTTCCTGTTAACTTATATAAACTCTCTATGACGTTTGCTGCCAGATTAAATTATTCTCAAAAATGGGGGCTGGAAAAAAACCCTCATAGAGAGTCTAATGAACTTTCGAGGCTAAACTTCCAAGTATATCACAGCTAGTAAACAGTTCTGGGTGGAATCTGTGGTCTGTTCTAAGGATGTGAATGTGTCAACATAACCAGACTAGATGAGAATTACTGTTTAGTTCACAGAGATTACAGAACTGAGGAAGCTGCTTGTCATCTAGTTTTGGAACAATCATGTATTACATCACGACTAACACATTTATTACTCACTGTGACAACTCACTAATATACAGAGTGTATCAAAAAGAATAATCCAGTTTTAAAAAGCTCTATTTTTTAAGAAATGGACATAGAAGCCAAGTAAGTAATTTTTGAAACATGTGGCTGAATATAAAGTTTTACATACAAAACTCAAAATGTTCACAGGTGCTCAGTGTGTCCCCTCTGGAAGCGGCATATGTCCACACAGTACTCACACCCGTCTGAGCATGTCAGGAGTCACAGCTGTTGCTATGCTACCAACCGGCAACCACTTAAAACTCCTAAATCTGCTCTTCCTAACAGTTTTCATTGTTACCAGTTGTGTGTATGTATTCTTCTGACCACAACTCTACTGCTGAGACGCCAACTTGGACTTCTAAAACTGAAACATCAATAAGCGTCTCACTTCTTCACCCTCCCAGCTCCTTACCATGTAATGGAGACCCTGAGGGGCTACTGGACAGGCCAGGTATGGGGCTACAGCGCCCACCGATGCCTCCTCCACCTAAGATGCAGCCACTTCCTGCGAGACTTCCTGCTCCTCCTCCTAAAGCAGCTGCCCTGTTCAGCTCCTGTTCAATCTCCTCCAATCCAGCGCTCTTTTGAAAGCGCGACATCCGGTTTACCACACGTGGGGACATGTGAGTCCGGGCACACGGTGCACCGCCGTAGGGGTTGATGGGAAATACATGTGTGGTGCCACGGAGGGTGCTGACGGCTACCCAGCGACTGTCCTGGCTGAAACACATGTCCTGTACCTGGATCCAGACAGGTGAAAAAAAATCAGACAAAAAACAGAGCAGATAAATGTCACACCATAAGCATAAGTAGTGGAAATGTTGACACATACCACATAAAACTTTCTTTCTGAAAATTCCATTAAAGTGTAGAGGCTGGTCGACGTGTAAAAACTGGAGAGAATGTTTTTGTGTTAGTCTAAACCATCTCACATCCTCAGGGATCAGTCATTGGGCATCTTTTCTCTGTATCTGCAGCCCCTCAGTTTCATTCTTAGAAGCCACTTCTATGTGGATGATCCTCGGGTGCATACGCTCCTAAAACAGAACGATGCCTACTCCATACAAACTACACACTGAGTGACTTGAGAAACTAAGTACTTGGAGGGTGGTAAACCTCCTAAATTTTTGGTCCTAATATCACTGGTGGGATGGCTCTGGGACAGTGTGGAAAGCCTACTGTCCCAAACATGGGTTTACAGTGGACCTTGATTTTAGATTTGCTGGTCAGAGAAGATACAGTGTTGAAATGAAGCTTCTTTCAGCTGAGACAGTTGGCAAAGATAAAAAGCTTTTCCACACTGGCATATTATCATTTGTGCACAATTCAAAATAATCCCATCTGTGAATATGGTCAAAGAGAGAGGCCTGGGCTTCTCTGCTGTCCCTCGGACCCAGACCTGTGGCAGAAAGTGGATGGATGGTCTCAAAATAACTTGATGAATGTGTAAAATATATTTACATGCCTGCGTATTTTATTCAGCACAGAAACATGGACGCAAAAGTAAACTACTCCAAAGTGCAACTAACTCTAGTGTGACTGGGCTATAGTGTTAATCGCAGAGATCAAGAGATGTCGACTAGCCTGACAGAAACAGACAACAGTTTTTGCAAGAGGTGACAGTAAGATATGAGATTGTTTGGCGATAAAATAAATGACCAAGAAAAATGGCATCCTTATTTAGTTGCTCTTCTCCAACACTCAGGGAGCAGACATTCAAGAGAAGATAGGATCTCCCCGAGCACGTCAGACATGCAGGAAACCAGACAAATAGGCTGCATGAGACAATACAAGCACTGGAGAGTGGGAGCGAGAAAATGAAAAGACAAAGAGATAAGGTGACAGACCGATGAAATGATTGTGCGCTGAAACTGCATCTATCACTTGGCATGCCTTTAAAAAAATAAAAATAATAATAATACATATATCTATTATATCTATATGGCAGGCTGGAGAGTGTAGATCCAGGAGAAAGTTTACAAGAGGAATGCCTGGCTCCTCAGTCAGCCAGCCAAAGAGAAAGCTCTGTCCCTCCAGGCCTTTCTAATCTTTTGCCAGGTCAGACGAGGTAATTGTCCCCAGCAATGACAGTTAATGGGGCATCCTCTGCATACCAGACAGTTACTTTACTTTACAAAGATGACTGAAAGAGGAGGGCTGACCTCTGCTGTAGCTTATAAGAGATGACTCAGAGATGAGAAAGGGCTACTTTGTGTGTGTTGTAATTGGTCATAATAGACCTGTCAGGGCTCCAACAGTAAATGGGTCCTGGATATCATGGCCAAATCCATTTCGATCAGGTGGGGGATTACCTGAAGGGTGGCTATAATTGTACTTTCATGGTGTGACAACCATCCACATATCAAACATTTGTCAAATGTTATCTCAAAAAGGCGGAATGCATCTGCTTTCAGTCACATGCAAGGGCTGATGTGGAGGTAGCACATTCCTGAAAGACTGGATAGCTCTCCCTTGTATTTTCCAACAAAGTACTTGATGACATGTGTGACAGTCAGAAGATGATAAGACGAGTTTAATGCCTTTGTTTTTCTTTTTAAATCAGTCACACCACGTAGTGAAGATTAAGCATCTCAGCTGACCTGAGAACAAGTCTGAAAGAATGACGAGAATGTGACAAAGATGTGACCAGATAAACACCTCTCACACGGAGGCGTGAGATGGACAATTAACGAGGGTTTATGTGGTCGTTAGCATCGGACGCCTCATCCTTCTCACTTTGACAGACTAACTACGATTACAAAAGTTACATAACAGGCCTCTGTTTGTCAATATTGTTACGGCAGCCTAATTTGATCTATAACGATGGAAAAGCACTGTTAACTGTGAGCAGAAGCGTAATAGATTTAAACAGATCCATAAGTGTGTAAATGCTTTTAAACAATGTGGATATACTAAAGATGGCTGATGTGGGTTTTGAACACAAATGTCTTCTTGGGACTGGAGCTGCTGCTTTGTGTCAGAACTACAAGTTTAGATCATTTCCACTGCTTCACAAAAAATATCACAACATTAAAACAAGATGTTTTTAACATTAAAGTCAGTAAGGTTTTTAAATATTGACATATAATTGGCAAATACTCAAATCACATGTTTGCACAAGAAGCCTGGTTACTCTGTGGAAGTAGGTTACAAAGGAAATCTGACAGTGACAGTCTGTCCCCAAAAGCTCCATTTACACAGTGATTAGAATGTAAATAAACACATAAAAATACATTTTACATAATGAAAAAATGGAAAGGCAACATGTCAACTGCTAAAACTCTTAAAATCTTTTTTTTTTTTATTTGCAATAGAGGCAAAAAATTGAGTTTTGGTCTGCTTAACAAAACACAGTGGAACATCTAACAACTAAAATGTTAATATAACTAGTAACATCTTAGTAACATGACTGGATATATATAAATAAAAGTACCCCAGAAATGAGGCAGAGAAGGGAGGGGTTCACCTCTCTTGTGTGGGCAAATAGATCAGCTGTTTCAAGAATAACATTTCTCAGTATTAAACTGCAAAGAATTTTGCTTTTATTATCTAAGGTACATAACATCGTTCAACCATTCAACGAATCTGGAGAACACAAAGAGTGAACATCAGTCAATCAGTATGAAATGCTGCGACCTGAGGGGCCTGAGGGGCATTAAAAATCAGATCTCAGAAACACTGAAAACCAATATTAGTCAATATGCAGGTTCAAACTACTTTATGCAAGTTAAGAAAACAGTAAAGCAGCTTCTTTCTTTAGGCCTGAGCTAATTTAAAAATGTGTGAGGGAAAGTGGAATTTCAAATTGTTTTTGAAGATCACGTATGACATGCCGAGCATTATAAAGAAAAGAAGGCCATATGGGTGCATTTGTGATTTAATACTAATGATATACACATATATATATACGTATTACAACAGTATGTCTGAGAGTCTGGTTGCTTAACTGGCGTTCTTTCAGACGTCTTACCTGTTGAAAACATGTGCTGCATTACTATAATTCAATGTTATTTATACAGCACCAAATCATGAAAACAATCACCTCAAGGTGCTTAATATTCTTAATAAGCACCCTACAATAATATAGAAACAATCAGACAACACCCTATGAGCAAGCACTTTGGCAAAAGTGGGAAGGAAAAACTCCCTTTTATCAGGAGGAAACCTCCAACAGAACCAGGCTCAGGAAGGGGCGGGGCCATCTGCCCCAGAAGTCTATTGATTGAACAAAGGAGATACCAAACCACTGAGCAGAAAGTAAACACAAAATGCAGCTTCTAAATGAAGGTGTTTATTATTAAGGCCCTGTGTGCAAAAAAGTGGCTCCCCCCAGGTTATAACTTAAATGAGCTGTGGTGTTTCACCTTTGGAAAGCTGAGTTCAACAGCCACACCCAGACCTGATTACTGCCACACCTGTTCTCAATCAAGAAATCGCTTAATAGGACCCGCCTGACAAAGAAAGGAAGATCCTCAAGAACCAGACATCATAGCACGATCCAAGGACATTCAGGAACAAATGAGAAACAAAGTAATTGAGATCTCTCAGTCTGGAAAAGGTTATAAAGCCATTTCTAAAGCTGTGGGACTCTAGCGAACCACAGTGAGAGCCATTATCCACAAATGGTAAAAACATGGAATAGACGTGGAAAAAGTTGAAGTTTTTGAAAAGTGTGTCCTATTACATCTGGCGTAAAAGTAAAACAGCATTTCAGAAAAGGAAAATCATACCAACAGTAAAATATGGTGGTGGTAGTGTGATGGCCGGGCTGTTTTGCTGCCTCAGGATCTGGAAGCCTTGACATAATTTCCTTAGAGATTAATAAAGCACTCTGATTCAGATTCTGAATCTTTGTGGTAATTCTGCTGTCTACCAAAACATCCTGAGGGAGACTGTCCACGACCTCAAGCTGAAGCACACTTGGGTTCTGCAGCAGGACGATGATCCAAAACACACCAAGTCCATCTCGGAATGACTTAAGAAAGACCAAATGAGGACTTTGGAGACGCTGTGGCATGACCTTCAAAAGGCAGTTCACGCTCAAACCCTCCAAGTGGCTGAATTACAACAATTCTGCAAAGATGAGTGGGCCAAGATTCGTCCACAGCGCTATAAAACACTCATTGCCAGTTACTACAAACGTTTGATTGCAGTTATTGTTGCTAAGGGTGACTAGGGCTGGGCAATATGGCCTAAAATTCATATCACGGTATAATTTTAAGCATGTGCGGTAACGATATATATCGCGATATATTCTTTTCTTCTGTATAACGTATTTTCCACACTATAAGGACTTAAAATCCTTTATTTTTCTCAAAAATCGAGAGTGTGCCTTATGTATGAATTCTGGTTGTGCTTACTGACCTTGAATCGATTTGGGCGTGCAAAAATCTGTTAAAAACGTTTTAGTACAACTTTGGTAAGCTGCACTGCTTGATGGATTGTCAGAGCATTACGGCTGCTGTAGCGAGGAGCTTCGGAGAAATCTGGGTCCTAAACTCCGTCAGCTTCAGGTCCCAAAGTCAAACGAACACTAAGAGTTAAAAACGGTCTAAATGATTTCATCTTTAATAAAATCATCAGCGTTGCTGCTGTACCAGGTGTACCAATTAAGTTTAACATCCAGGCATCCATGAAAACAGAATTTATTAAATTTAACGGAGTTAGAAGTTAACAGGAAGTTAGCTCGCTAGTTTCCACCTAAACTTGACATACCATGTTCTGACAGAGATTTTTGAAACTAATTCAAACGTACAGCTCTGCTACCACTTCCAACATAAATGAAGACAGAAACTAAACAGCAGTGGCGTTTGCAGGGTTACTGAAGTTGGACTACCTGGTATATAATGTTGTGCTACGTGATTGCTAGCGACACACGGGGGGGGGCGCGAACATTTTTCTTGTAAAACAAAGGGGGGCCCAGCAAAAAAGTTTGGGAACCACTGCTAAAAATAAAGGCTGAAGAAATTGTGTTCTCACAGAGCAGCCTCATTACTGAAGCACAAATAAATGTGCCAGTTAATTTTTCATTCATTCAGATGACTGGACATCAATTGATGCTACAGACTGTTAAGTTTAGTAGCTCTGAGCTCATCCACCTTCTGCTCCGCCTTCAGCCCCTTACAGCTGTTATCAGCTCGCAGGTCTGTTTACCTGGCCTCGGGTCACTGACAGCCAGCCGCATGTTTGGTCGCTGGAGACAGATAAGGCGTCCACCTCCACCTACCTAACTCAAGACTTTATGACTCCCAGTATGTTTCTGAGTTCTGTGTGTGTGTGTGTGGTGTGTGTGTCTGTGTGTTATTGTGGTGATAACCCCTGTCCCAAACACAGGCAGGGGCCGGCATTCAGTGTTTACAAGGGCTTGGATCAAAGCACCCTCAGTGTGCAGCCAGTCAGCAGACCTGATGTTTGGTCATACATTAACTGCAGGCAGGCTGTAGGAGTGTGTGTGCATGTGATGGTGTGTGTTCCCAGTCAATAATCCTGAACTTAACAAGGCCTGAAGTACTTTTGTTGAGCAAGCACTTCTCCTTTCTACTGTAATTAATGAGAAAAAGTCAAACTAAAAATAATCTTGAGAACTACAATCTTTTTTCTTTTCATTGTTTTATTAAATTAATTACCATATCCCTTCACTTCATTATTATAGACCATACATTTAGTGAAAGTGTCAAAGTGTAGGTGGTGAAAATTAGCTGCCCACAGCTAATATACTGCTCGATATACTCTTTTCTCTCCCTAAAGTATTATTGAATGTATGACCACATGTAATAATGTGTCAACTCAAGATTTTAGCAGAGACATCCTCTTTAATTAAAACTTTCTTTTTTGATAAAGTAATGGTTAGGTTTAAATCAGGTAACACGCAAGTGTTTCTTCACTCACTATGTATCTGTACACAGCTTTGCATTTAATCATTAGTTAAAATTCATCTCTGGCTCTCTTCCTCTGTAAGTCTTTTGTTCTGTCTCCCTTCATCACCAACTGGTCACACAGATAGCCGCCCCTCCCTGAGCCTGGTTCTGGAGGATGTTTCCTCCTGTTAAAAGGGAGTTTTTCCTTCCCACTTTTCACAAACACATTCTCATTGGTTGTCTTAATGCTGGGGTTTCTCTGTATTACTGTAGGGTCTTTCCTTACAATATAAAGCAACTTCAGGTAACTGTTGTTGTGATTTCGTACTATAAAAACACAATTATGCTAAATTGTATAGAATAACAACACAGGTAATGTTTTAATGCTGTTTAAATGTTGCAGTTCATCGAGGGGGTGGAGCATGTTATTTTCTATAAACTGGATGAATGTTTTTCTTTACCAATCATGTATTTTTCTCATAAATGTATCTGTTTAAATGGGAATGTGGTTTGGAGGGGGACTGGTCCAAACCTGGATCTCACTCAAACTGGACAGCTAAGGGAAGGGTCATCTCCTGTCTACTACTGAAAGTAAATGAAGAAACAACAGAGGATAACTAAGTCATTAAATAAATGATAAAAGCTGTGAGTTTAACAGTTGATCTACATTCCTACCCACAATATGGTCATGAGATAGTGGTTGTTTCATCTTTGGAGAGAGGGAGAGTAGCTCTCAGTTCCGGTGGTCCAGGTATCTCAGTAAGATTATTCTTCGCCACCTAGGTTTTGCGCTAAAAAATATGAGGAGAAAACCCCTGGGCTGAACCGGGACAGCCTGGAAAGTTTATGGTTTTGAGCTGGTAAAATATCCCTGGAGCAGCCAAAGGAGACAGTCAGGGAGAGGAAGGTCCAGCCATCTACGCAGCACAGCTCAGCAAGGTAGTAAAAATGAGGTTGGTGGATAAATAAATGCATTACTTTCTATTGTTGACCTTATGTATCACGCTAATGTTTTTAAATTTCATGGTCACTATTACACATACTTTTGTTCTATGGAGGGACGAGCAGTAATAAATTGTGTTTTGTTTGTAATACCGTACCTTTGTTCTTACCCTTTTTTTGGTTTCACTATCTTCACTATCTTAATCATATTGCAGTGATTTGACAGGAAGAAAGAAGTAATAATTATACTTACATACAAGTTCACAATTTACTACATTTGACTAGAATGTATGTGTATGTGAATCAATGCAATCTAAACACTCATTAAATATCTGTACTATTACTCCCAGTGGATGGTTGCAGTGTGCGTGTAGGTTTGAGTTTGTTTCAGACCTTGGCTTCGGTCTCCCCACGATGCAGCGTATAGAGATGGTGAACGGCACTCTGCGAAGATGCCCACGGGTGGGTGAGGATCTGGAAGACGTGAAAGTCATGTCCCAGGGTGTCGGCAGTTACCAGCAGCATTCCTACAAAGAACACATAGTCACTGACATCAGGAATCAGTCCGTTAGCCGGCTTCACTGTAAGCTGATTCTTAATGTGTGCTGTATAAATGGTTCTTATTTTATCGTGCAGCTGCTTGAATGCATGCCTTTTGTTTGTTTGTTTTTTGGCTAATGCTCAAATATTGTAATACGCACGGTTTAAAATGCACTTCGCGCTACATTTGTGTCATGTAGCAGCGCCTACCTTTTCAACTGGGCCAAACCATACAGTGATGACACTAATCGAACAAATTAAGCTTTGGAGGTCAATAGTGCTGTATACTCCATAATGATAAGGTTCCCATCCATACAACATAATGTGGTCTGAAGAGGAAAACATCTATGTTAACCATATGCATATCATCTGGCCTTAGAAGATGTGTTTTTACCGCAATCATCAAACGATCAAATGAGGCAGTATGATGTCCCATCACTCCACCAGAGACCTTTAGACCTATCACCTGAAGCACATGTTACATCTTGGTTTTTGTTTGTTTATTTTAATCATTTTAATCAAGATGATTCAAAATGATACTCCAATTTGTGCAGTGTGTCTAAATGTTGCTAATGGTACACTGACCAACAGGGGTGGGGGAAAAAAATCGATACTGTGCAGTATCGTGATATTTTGTTTGCTAATAATGTATCGATACAGGGACAGCAGAAATCGATATTTTGTTACAAAAAAGGTTTTTGTGCTCTGACTTCAGAGCATGTTGATCCTTTTTCTGAGCAACAATCCTGACATTCCTTCACTGTCCAAATGTGTTTAACTTGTTTTTGGCAGCAATAAACATGACAGTTTACTTATTTTAATTTAAGACATGTTTTATTTTAATTAAGTTTAAAACTTTTTTATTTAATGTAAAATTATATTTTGTTTTAATTTACTTTCAAATTCTTCAGTTGCTGAAGGGGCTGCATAGTTTTCATAAATTGCATAGTTCAGAATAGCTATAATTGTACCAGATGGTTGCATTCAGTTAAGTTGGACTAGACTGTAATACAAACCGTTCAGTTTGTCAACAATAAAACTGAAATGAGAGAAAGACTGAGTGTGAGACTTTGATATTAGATAAAATGAATATTGATAAAGTTTACCTTTATGTACAGAATCTGAATATCGCAAAATATTTTTAAAAATCGCAATAATATTGTATCGTGCGTTAAGTATTGTGATAATATCGTATCGTGGGATGTATGGTGATTCCCACCTCTACTGACCAACCAAAATATTTCAACTGCATTTTATTCCAGCAGATGATTCAAAATGATACTCCAATTTGTGCAGTGTGTCTAAATGTTGCTAATGGTACACTGACCAACAGGGGTGGGGGAAAAAAATCGATACTGTGTAGTATCGTGATATTTTGTTTGCTAATAATGTATCGATACAGGGACAGCAGAAAACTGTGCATGACACATGTTAGACAGCATGAAAGAATTACTATGCACTTAAAACAAACAAACCAGCCCATTAAACATAGCCAGCTATCATTTGTGACAGTCATAAAATGCAACTTTGCCTTACATGATAGCTCGGTCTGGTAAAAGCACGGCTCGAGTCCTGTGATTGTTCAAGGACAGACGAAACGAGCGTCCATAAAAGAGGCAATCTATGTATTCGAGCATCGGTGCACATTTATGGGCGTGTCTATGCGCATTCAGAATCACCAAAACGCTGAACCACAGCGCAGCACAAGTGTAACCAACACTGACAGGCCCATTCATTTGGTCCTGTTTTATTTGAAGCTCGTCAAACTCCAGAAAGTATAGGTCCAAACCATAAACAACATGCCCAACAAACCACACCAGAACAAACCCAGATCTAAACTGGCTCGTCTACACTGCTTTTCAAATACAATCCAAAACCCATCCCCAGAAACCTTCTGACATGCTACAAACATGGAGATCGAGCAGCAACTCATAATACAACTCATTGATGCAGAGTGTAAAAAATGTCCAAGGCCCTGTCCTTCTGATGACTTCCAGACATAAATAATATTAAAGTAATTAGTATTTTCCTCTCAGTTTTTCCACTTGGAATCTTTTATGTGGAGGCTGCAGTAGGTTTTAATTAGTGGCCGGGCTTTATTGGGTGGCATGTCAAATGTGAAAAGAGGATGTTGGAATGGCATGAGATTAAAAGGATCCAACAACACGTGCGAGGGAGATGGAAAACACTCCCTTTCTGGAAAAAAAAGAAGCCATTTTTGCACATTCAGAGTCGAAGTTTCCCTTGGCCAAGATTTGAAAATTAGTAAAGAAAAAGCACTGCTCACAGATGATGAAAATCTGGATAAATGATAGGTTCGTGCAGATTATCAGAGGTGGAAGAAAGAAACTCTAACTAAAGCCAAGTGAAGTGTGCATTAAGACAGTGGTTAGCTAGTCATGCTGTATCAGAGCGACCAGAAAGCCAAAAAGCTAAGGCCCAGGGCCTGTAAACTCTTGAAAACCCACGCCCCAAACGAGGTGCCAAGCCACAAGAAGCATTTGCGTCAACTGGGAATAAAGAGAAAGAAGGGCCGGGGCCCTTCTAATTATAGAGTCTGGAAACGGAAGCGCAGGGCGATTAGGAGTTGAGGCGCTGCGGTCTGTTTATCTGGGAGCTTCCTCTCGCTCTCAAACCCTCTCTCCCCTGTTCTCCGCTCTCGTTCACTTTTGCTCCTCTCTCTGTTTTGGTCGGGCCCTGCCCACCCAGTGGCTGGAGAGTCTGGCCCCTAGCTTTCTGACAGATGAGACTTGGCCACTGCCTTCTGGCCAGGGCCGGTGTTTCTCTTCTGCTGATGGTAGAGTCTGGGCTCCAAAAAAGTAACAGCTCAGGAAGGCTGGAGAGCTTTGCGAGTGCGAGTGCCCGAGGACTGGGGCTTTTGTGGCCTTGTTGAAATACAGAGGCCCTTGCCGAGAGGCGTCAGTCGGTTAGCCCACGGGAGGGCCAAATTAAAAAGCAGCTGAGCGGCCCGGTGGGTGAAAAGAGAAGGTTTTAAACAGCGGCTGGCTACAGCGGGGTTTGACACGTCCTATTTATAACACCTTGTCCCAGGGGTTACAGTGTTATTTACGATGTTTTAGTACCAAGATCGCTGGCACATGCTCTAAGACGTGCGCTAAACTGGAAGGGGTGACTTCTAATTTGCCATGTGTGCGAGACATGCGTTCATATGGGATATGAGGGAAGTGATATAATCATTTCCATAAATATCTGCTTTTGCTTTCTGGGGTTTTTTCCTCTTAAAATCTTTTTGTTTTGTTTTGCTGCAGGCTTTAGTGTCCCATCTCTGACCATCCAAACAGAAAACATCTGCTCAATCCCATTAATGTTGGGAGGATGTTTCATTTACAAAGTGGTGGGGCTAGCTTTATTCTTGACAAAGGCGAACGGGACGGGAGGGCGAACGGCTGAAAGAGAGAGAGAGCGAGAAAGGCAAAGAAATAAATGGAAAGAAGAGGGTGATTTCCCTACTTGGCAAAGTGGAACGCCACAACAAAACTAGTCCACTTTTTAATTAACAACACTACGCTGAAAAAAAAAAAAGCTTTGAAAATTGTGAAATTCTCAAATTATAACCATGTGTAGGGGATAAAGCTTACAAGATGGAGTACTTGGGGGATTCGGATAGCCTCGCTGTTACCAGGATGCATAAACTTCAGAGCAAATGAGCCCATTTACTTTGAAAGACTATCCATCATAAAGAGGAGGTTTTGTCTTCAGGGCTGGGAAGGACAGGACGTTATGTCTGTCTGAATGGATTTGTACATATACTGGACATATACAGCGCACAGCCACAATATTAAAAGCAATAAAAAGTGAAGAGGACAACGCTGATCCTCTCATTACAGGAAATCTTGGGTCCTAACATTCATTTAAATGCTACTTGTACTGTTAAGGACACCTGGACACACCCCTGTGACAACAGCATTTTCCAGCAGCACTTGGCTCCCACAGCAGGACAATTCACCTGTGCAACCAAGGTGCACATCTGGCCTCCAAAACGGTCCTACATCCATGCTCCGACATGTCAAAACAGCATGAAAGAGCAGTGTTATTTTAGGCAGGTGATTTTAAATGGTAAATATAGCAGTTGGCCTTATTCACTCATTTTCTTTGCCTAACTGCTTTCTATCAAACATCTGCAATTATACTGCCCAACAATCTCCCTGCATTTTATCATATAAAGCCTAATAATATATCCTATACAAATTGTAATACTCTAAATATAATTTGTCATACTCTGCCAGGAAATTTGAGGACTTTTCAGAGCGGTGCCAGGAGTTTAGTCTTCAAACGCGAGAATATTAACATGGTTGTAATCAAAGGAACGTTAATGGTTATGTCTACTCTTTATAACTAGAGAAAATTGTGCTACTGATTGCAGTGCAAATTGGAGGGGGAAGAGTGTGCCCTACTAATCTTCTCAACACCGCAGCAGCAGACTAATATACGAGCAGTTTTATATCTGTTGGGCAGCAGAGTAAGCATTAGGGTTAGACAGATGCTAAAAAGCCAAAGTCAGCCGCCCCCAACAAAGCAGAGCGGGTGCAGTCTGACTAATTACTCATTTCTCTTAAAAGTTATAGCTACGTATTGCTTATGTTTTAGTACGGATGGTGTATGTTTATATTTGCATGTGCATTAAAAAACTTTGAGTAGCATATGAACAAAATTTAAACTAAACAACACTAGATGATGTTTATGTGTTGTCGAGGTAATGACAAAAATGTTTTATTTGGTTAGATCGCTGCAACCTTGACCTTTAACCTCTAAATTCATCCAGTGTTTGAATCCAGCAGTTTTTACTCAGCACTGAAATTTCTGAGCAAAAGTTAACGTCTTTGAATTCATTTGAGAATGAAATTCCTTTTATGATAATGTCATTAGAATTTAATACAAATACTGGTACAAATAAAGATTGTTCAGTGCCTCAGCAGAGCGAGCACCTGATAGCCACAACACCTTTTTTAAAGGCATGCTGTTCAGG